AACGGGAAGAGAATTACTTGAAGTGTTTAAGGATTTATTTCTACAATATATCATATATGATTTTTTCTGGTTATCTAAAATCTTCATGTTTTTCTTTATCTCTGACAATGGAGGGATCTCAAGATCCCTTGACCTCTTTCCGTCACATCCCATAGCTGATCTGTAGGTTCTACCCTGAAGATTTGTCCAGTATCTTCTCTCGCTCCCACTTCCACTGATCTCACCATGGTCCAAACCATCATCACCTTCTCTCCCCTTAACTGATTTCCCCTGCTTCCATCCTTGCTCCTATCCTATTCCCAGTTCAGCAGCCCCTAGGGATCCCAGATCAGATCACGTCAATCTTCGGCTCCAAAAATGCCTTCTCATCGCTCTCAGATTAATAGTCCTTACGATAGCCCAAGAGGTCCCATGTGATTTGCCCCATTTCTTCTCTTATCTTCTACCGTTTCTCCCCTCCCCCATCCCACACATGGGCCTCTGGTTTCCTTGTTCCTCCAACACTCCAGGCACTGGGTGCCTGCATCGGCTGTCTCCTAGGCCTGGAATGCTCTGTCCTCGGATATCCACATTGCTCAGATGCCACCTCTAGATGAGGCATCCTACTTACGATCGCCGCATCCTTCCAACTCCTTACTCTGCTCTATTTCTCCCAGGCACTTACTATTTTCTAACGTATTATGTAACTTGTTGTTCATGTGGATTGTCTATCTCCTTCCACCAAGCGCAGTGAGAGCAGGGGTTCTTGTGTTTACTCCATTATTTATTGCATCGGCCAAACAGTGCCTGCACATAGCGGAAATGTAGTGAATGTTAAATGAGTGAACGAATATTACATTTTAAAAAAAGAAGGTGGAGAACAGTGTTTGAAGTATGCTGCCGTTACACTAAAAAGTAAGTGCATTGTATTTACTTGTATAAATTTAGTTTATTGCTGGAAAGATTCCAGTGGTTGCCACAGATGAGAACAACTGTTGGCTGGGGACCAAGGAGGGAGGGTGACTTTATACTTTTATACTTTTTGGATTTTCCTCTATGTGCCTATAGTGCTTATTCATAAATAATTCAAATGAAAATAAACAATTTGGAACACAGGGACTACAATAATACCCCCATCTCGGTCCTTCCAGGTCAGCCCAGATGTACTTCGGCATGTTTCATGCCTTTGAGTCGTTGCCACAGACACCTCCTCCTCTCTGCAATCAGGGCACAAGAAAGCGCTCTGGCTGTAACATGGGCATTTGACTGCCCTGCAGTGAAGGGTAGGACATGCCTACCATTTCCTGACCTTAATGCGTAGTTCTAAACCTAATGATGCCTGAATATCATAAGCCTGGCTTCTAGAACTCATGCTACAAAATTAATTTCCATAATTAATGGCTGTTTAAAAGCTGACCTGAGTCACTGAGCTTCTGTGAGCTAGTTTCTGTTGGCAGGGAGAGACATGTGTGGCTAGATGGTGTCCAGCGGCATTTGTAAGACTATAATCACAAAAATGAGACTGCAGCTTTGGAGAGGAGACCCGGGTATGGAATAGGGGTAGGGGCTGCAGGCTCTGATAATGTTCTTGTGGTGAACTGGCAGGTGTTTATTATATTTCTGTGGTTCACAAATTAACATGTATATGCTACATAGAATGTTATGTGTATATTTTCAAAGGTAACAAAAGAGATTGAAAAATATAAAATGGAAGGACAATTTTTAAAAATTAAATTAAAGGCTTTGTGGAGGAAGAGTACACCACGTTGTGTCCTGAAGGACAAGGCCGTGATTAGTGTTACAAGCAGCGCAGCAGCAGGAAGGAGTTGACCATTTAAGGGATTAAGAGAGAACCAGCCTGGCTGGAGGTGGCCATCACACAGGGCCTTGAGTGCTAGGCTAGGAGTCTGGACTCTGTCCTGAGACCGATGGAGAACCCTGGAAGGGTTTTATGTAGGCCGTGGCTAGTCCGGCTTGCTTTAAGAACAATTGCTCCGGCCAGCAGTGCGTTGAGTCTACTGCAGGGGCCGACCGGTGTCGCTGCCAGAGGAAGGAGCATGAGCCAGGGCTAAGCAGTCCTGGGATCAGCCCTGTGTGATCGAGGGAAGCTGCCGAACTTCTTCGACTTTCTTGTAGGTAAAGTGGAGAATGCTATCACCTCACAGGGTTACTCTGAGGATTAATGGCATGCCAAGTGCCCAATACAGAGAAAGCCGTCCACAATCACTTCCCATCTCTTCTCTACTACGATCAAAGCGGAGCAGCCTTTGTTCCCCTCAGTAACCCAGTAAAGGCCTCACCGTGCGTACTTTACTGCGGGCTCTGGCCTGAGGCTGTTCGCGCCTGCGCAGTGGGCGCCCGGTGAGCGGAGAGAGGCTAGGCGGCCGCTGCCAGAGTCGCCTGGCAACCGGGTTGCCTAGGAACGGGCGCGCACTGCCAGGACCGCGCACGCTGAGGCAGGTGAGCCCGCGGCTGACACAGGCCGGGGAACAGGAGCCCCTAGACCCACCAAGACCCTCTCAACAGGGTTCGCGCCCTCCCACCCCAAGCCCGCCTGTGCCCCTTAGAGGAGGGCAGGACCCTGTCCCCGGCGCCCACCATTCCCTGACAGGGGAGCCCCCATCGAAAATGGCCACGTCCTTTCCAGCCGGGCCCTCCTCTCCTCCTTCCCTAGTCATCGGGTGCCTAGGATCAAGGTCCGCTCACCTGGTTACTGGAGTAGATGCCCACAGGGCGGGGGCTTGTCACTACCACTAAAGGCCATAACCACCAGCAGCAGCATAATAATAACACAGCCAGTGTACCTGGAGCCCTGGAGTGCCAGGCTCATGAATACCAGCGAATGTGCCAGCTTGGGAGGGAGGGACGTGCCGCTATCATCCCCCTTTTGAGCTGCAGAAAGACACAGAGGAAGCAACTTATTAAGGGCCTGGAGCCCGTTCTTAACTACTAAGCCACCCCGCCTGTGGTTTCTCAAAGTGTGTTTGTGTGTGTGTCATAAAAGTAGATCACACTTTAACCTTAACGCCTCCTTTGTGGATGCGCCAGAAGCATCTGACTGTGGGTCCCTGATAGGTGAAAGTACTAGACCTGGATTTGAACGTTGGCTCCTAGCCTAGTTCATGACCTCCACAGCTCCTCGCCCTTAAACCTCAACTTCCTCCTTCATGAAATGTGGGTAATAGAAGTCCCCTCCTCCTGGGGTAGCTGAGTTAGATATTAGGTCTTGCTGGCACCAGATAAGCACTAAATGTAGCTGTCCTATCACTGTTTGTTTAGTTTGGTTTGTCTTCATGCCTTGAGCCCAAAGCCCAGCCTACAACGTATTGGGAGAACTCTGGAGTTTGCAGTTTGGGCTGCCTTCACTGTGACCTTGAACCAATCCCTTAATTGCTCTCAGTCTCAGTTTGCTCATCTGTAAAATAGAAGTCAAAATACCCACCTAACTGCCCTCACTGTTTTGAGGCTCAAATGAGAAGTCGCTGCTAAATCATAGTAACCATAAAGACAACTTTGGGTTCTCTTACTCAGTGGTTCCTGCAGAGCTTCCTTTTGAAAGCTACAGAGCTGCCCTGCGCAGGCGTGGGAAGATGGCCCACACCCGCATCTCCATGTACCTGCCCCCCGATGTCAACCCCAGCCAGGCGGCCATTGCCTACGGCTGCCGGGCGCTGCCCAAGCTGAATGAGGAGCTGCAGTCGGAGGACCTGCTGACGAAGCAGAAAGCCCTCATGGCTCTGTGTGACCTCATGCATGACCCCGAGCATGTCTACGTGGCCATCCACATAGGTGAGCGTGTCACGGCCCAGGTGACCATAACCAGGGTCTGGAATGACAGACAGAGCAGCTCAAGGGGAGAAGAGCCGAACTGGCCCCTTCACAGCATCCCTTCCAGGTGGTCAGTCAGTCCTTAATGGACACCACCAGTGGTCTGCTTCCTGTGCTACGACTTAATGAGGTGGCCACAGACCCACCAAACAGGGCGTGGTAGTCCCGGCCTGGCCCCAGACAGTGCAGGGAGCTTTAGTAGTAAAGGTTGCTATTTAATGAGCCCGACTCTGGGCCAGCAGCACTGCACGTGCCCCACCAGTGTTATCTTGATCCTTGTAGCACTGGCCCTGGGAGGGAAGGAGTATCTCAACCGACAGATAAGAAGACAGAGCCTCGGAGAGAAGGGATGTGAGGCTACAGTTGCCCCATAAATAAATGAAGTGGGATTTCTACGTATTCACTCCGGCATCAGAGGTGTAACCCTTTCAAGGGTACATGACTAGTTGGTGACAAGGTTGAAATTTGACCTCCAGTCTCTTCAAATGCAAAGGACATTTTTGTGAGCCCCGTGGAGGGCTGGGAGGAAGGCACTGGTAGGAAGTGTACAGGGAGATTCACGAGGGGGCTTGGATGACTGAGTGCTTGGTGGTAAGCCTTTCCAGCACCCAGAGCCCCCGCTAGTGACTCTGAAACACTCCACAGCCCACACCATGCCCCCATGCCCCAAGACCAGGGAGCTCTGCTTCTCTCTGGTTCCTGACATTGGCTCACCTGTCCACCTTTTACGTTAGCCGATTTCTGAGCCTGGTAAATGCTCAGGGGTTTTGTTTTTTCTGCCTCACAGGCTGCTTGGAGAGCCTGAAAGCTTTGCTGAAGGACACCAACAACATGGTGCGGATCAAGACCACTGAGGTGCTCTCCATTATGGCAACCCACAACGTGGGCAGGTGCGCAGCTGTCCCTGGATACCAGTATCACACTTTGAAGCTGCACCCCTCTGTTGGGTGGCAAGCTCTTGAATGACTTTGAATGACCTGCTTGCGGGGCAGGGAGTTCAATGTGTTAATGCAGGTGAAGTGCTTAGCCCCAAGTTGGGGCTTGGGGGCCCCGGGGCGCTCCTCTCTCTGGGGGCTGCTGCCACTCTCTCCCCACAGACAGGCTCTGGGGACTGACACACCTGCTTGTGCAGAGCCATCTGCAGATGACCACCTCTGCCCCTCAGTCCTCTGGACCTCCCAGCTCCCTGGCTCCTCTCTGGATGCAGGATCCGGGAAGGAGATTGGTCAGCCCGATCCCTGCACGTCCCTGGCCCAATGGGTTGCTATGAACGGGGTGCGTGTGGGGAGGTGGTGCCAACACACAGGCTTTGCACCAAGCAGGGTGCTGGGACAGAGTGGTGGGTGGGGCACAAGCCTGGCATCTGATGGGGTTGCCCTTTCCTGCTGTGACCTGGCAAGACTCAGGTGGACCCTCACAGTTCCCATCTGAGACGGATCTGGGGAATGTGCTTTCTTTCAGTCACCTGGGCTCAGGCTCCAGGTGGAGGTGAGGGCGGGCAACTGACTCTAGGTTCTTACTGGGTCCTCTCTGGGCACAGTCTTAGCTGTGTCTAAATCCAACTTGCCAAGCAAATCAGAACTACATTGAGGTATCACCTCATACCAATCAAAATGGCCATCATTAAAAAGTCCACAGTGAATGCTGGAGAGGGTGTGGAGAAAAGGGAACCCTCTTACATTGTTGGTGGGAATGTAATTTGGTGCAGCCACTATGGAAAACAGTGTGGAGACTCCTTTAAAAACTCACCCTATGATCCAGCAATCTCAGTCCTGGGTGTTTATCCGGAGAAAACTCCAATTCTGAAAGATACATGCACCCTAATGTTCATAGCAGCACTATTTACAATAGCCAAGACATGGAAGCAACCTAAATGTCCACCAACAGATGATTGGACAAAGAAGATGTGGTACACACACACACACACACACACAAACACAATGGAATACTACTCAGCCAATAAAAAGAATGAAATAATGCCATTTGCAACAACATGGATGAACCTAGAGATTATCATATAAAGTGAAGTTAGACCAAGACAAATACCGTATGATATCAATTATATGTGGAATCAAAAAAAAGATACAAATAAACTTATTTACAAACTAGAAACAGACTCACAGACATAGAAAACAAACTTATGGTTACCAAAGGGGAAGGTGGGTAGGGAGGGATAAACCAGGAGTTTGGGATTAACAGATACAAACTACTATATATAAAATAAACAACAAGGACCTATGGTATAGAACAGGGAACTATATTCAGTATCTTGTAATAATCTATAATGGAAAAGAATATGAGAAAGGATATATATATATAACTGAATCACTGTGCTGTACACTGAAACTAACACGACAGTGTAAATCAACTCTACTTCAATAAAAATAAATAAATCCGACTTCCCTTCCCCAGGGATGGCTTTTTAGAGCATGACATCATCCACGCCCTGTCCTACCTGCTGAACGACCCCCAGCCGACCTGCCGGGAGAACATGCACTTGGCATTCAAGCACCTGGCCCAGCTGCCTGCAGGTAGGCTCGCCCTGGGCGCTGGGACGCCCCTCTGTCTTCCGTCCTGGTCAGGCGCCTGCCACGTTGATCACAGTCTAGAGTACATTAAAAAAAAGTCATGCTTTTATCAAGGTACAATACACATGTTAAAAAAGCACACACTTGATTACACTGTACGAAGTAAACATGCCCCTGCTAGGAACCACGACCCAGGCCGAGAATTATGTAGAATGTGGCCAGCACCTGCCCCTGCCAGTGACTGCCCCTCACCCAAAGGTAAACAGTTCCATATATCTTTAGTTTATAAGGTCATAGATTAGTTTATGCCTCTTTGAATTATTTTGCTTCTAGCTTCTTTTGCTTAACGCTTTGTCTCTGAGACCCACGCGTGTTGTGCGTTACCGATTTCTGCCGATTTGCGCTGGAGCGTGGCACACACACTATAGGCGTACACTACACTGTATCTGTCCCTTCTGTTGCCGATGGACATTTGCATTGTTTCTGGTGTGTGGCTGCCAAGAGTACAGTGGCTACTGACGTCCTTACAAATGTCCTTCGATGGACACGTGTATGCGTCTGTTTTGAGATATACCCTGGAAAGAATGGCGAGGCCCAGGGTAACTTTACATCCCAATTTAGCTCCCACCAGCAGTGTTGGAGTGCCCCAGGAGTTCCGGGTCCTCACCCACTCTTGATCTTATAGCTGTTTGGTGGGTGTGGGGTGGGGTCTCATTTTGGCTTTAATTTGTATTTCCCTGGTGGCTATCACCCTGTAAGTGTCCTCTTTTGAGCAGTGCCATGGCATGTTTTTAAGGATTAGAAACTCCACCTGCTGGCTTGCTGTCCCCTCCAGCTAACCGCTCCAGCTAATTAGATGCTGAGTCCAGGCTAACGGCCACCTGCTCACTGGCTGCAGGGTTGAGATTCATGTCACACTGACGCCCATCCTGTCACATGGTGCAATGAGCATTTTTAAACAAGGGGCTCCTTCCGAGAGGCATGATATCAGGCCTTATGGGGTGTGCCTTAAGGGGGACAGGCAGACGCTGTGGGCCAGGAGTTGGCCGGACTGAGTTCCCGCTGCCCTCGCCTTGTCCCCTGTGTACCCCTGGATGGGCTATTTCTTCATTGTGGATGTGAAGCTGATGGGACCCATCTCAGGCCTGAAGTGAGGGCCAAGTGGGAAGAAGCTAGCCAAGCGTGTAGCACAGGGCTCCCTGAATGAGGTCCCACAGAGGAGGGAAACGGACCCGGTGCAGGGCCCTGGGGGCTGGGCATGTGCACACCGCCAGCCCATCCCCTCCTCTGCCAGACCTGGCTGGGCGAGCTAGGCCTGACAGCAGAACTCCTGGTGGTCTTTTGAAAGAGACCACCCTATCCCACCCACATCTTCTTTAAACGCACCTTAGCTGGTTCTCCTGGGCGACCATGGTTGATGGTCCCTGAATACTGGGGCGTCTCCACGAAGGACCGATTCTGGGGCTGAGATCCACGAATCCCTTGGCCCACCACACAGGAACATTCCTTCTTGGGTGTGGAGAGGGGACTGGCTGTTTTCACCCAGGGCTCTCACAGTGATTGTGACCTGTTCAAGCCTTCAGTGAGAGAGGACAGCGGGCAGCAGGTGCCATCACCAGCTGTGCTCAATTGTAATATCCCAGCACATTTCATACTGGCTTGAGATTTTTGCTTAAAAAATAAATGCAGTCCAAGTCCCCTGTGAACCTCCCCCACCCAGCCCCCTTTCTCTCACCCTCCCTGGGGTGGCCAGTAATTGGTGATTGTGTCCCCAACACGTGTCTTTGTATTTGACCACAGATGTAATTAATCTAGAGATCTTGCTTTGGGTGTTTCCAAAACTCTGTGTAAAAGGAGCTTCCTGATGGATCCCTTTGGTCCTTAAAAATCCCAATGTTACGATTCAGAGATGTACCCACGTTCTGTCACAGGCTCTATTTCGTGATTATAATTCTGGCCCGCCCGCCCTTACATGCAGTAAACTCACCCCTGCCCAGTCAACAGGCATGCAGAGGTTTGGGCTCCTGAACATTCCTGCTCAGGTTTTCCTCCCTGGGAAGAGGGTGTCGTGGGGCTGGAAGAGGCAGGCCTTCTGCATGGCCATTTTCCCGGTGGCCTTGCAGCCTGGAGAGCCCGGCGGGGCGCTGTGCGGTGTGGCTGTCATGTGGCCCTGCTGTGCCCCGAGACCCAGAGAGGGGCGTCTTCTCTGCCTGGCGCCGCCTCCGTCCCCTCTCCTGCCTGGTGCCTCCGGGAGCCAGAACCCCTTCTGTTGAGTTGTTTTTCCATTTCTCCTTGATTTGAAGGAGTTTTGCATTTATCCCAGATTCTAGCCCTTTGTGGGTCACACGCACTGCAAATATAATTTCCCCGGGGCTGTTTTGCATGGCTTGTCACTGTTCGTTGGCCCAGCAGGTTTTCATTTGAATGTAGACTTTCTTCAGTCCTTTCCTTTGTGGCTTTTTTAGGGGGTGACACTTAAGAGACACTGGTGCTAGGAACTCCTGGTCGTCTACTGCTTTATTTTCTTCTAAAAGTGAAAGCATTTTCACATTCAGCTCGAGAAGGTCCCTGGGATGGGTTTTTGGTTGGTTTGCTTTGAAGCCTTCTTGTCTAGACCTTGCCAGGCAACACCGTCCTAATGACGAAAGCTCTATGGTCATCTGGGTTCTGGTGGACTGGCCTCCCTGTCTCCTCCCTGCCAAGGTTTCCAGAACCCACAAGTGCTGGGAACCCCACGGGGAGTAGGGGGGCCGTGGTTCTGACAAGCCTCATTGGAGGCCCCCCACATCACTACTCATCGTCTGCGATGTGCCCAGAGGGACACTGGTGAGGAGTGTGTGGCAGTGGGGGGGGTTGCTGGATGGAGGGGGGCACATATGGTGTGGCAGGTGCCCCAGGAGGTCCCTCTGAGGGGGCCCCAAGTGCAGTGGCTTCCGAGTTGGCTGATGTGGCTGTGTCCTAGGGGGTGTCCTCACGGGGCCTGTGGGTGGGGGCCTGGGTGGGGTGAGGGCGTCTACTTCAGGGGCTCCGCTCTCCAGCATGGGGCCTCGGGCAGTAACAAAGCCCGAGTAGCACCAGGTAGCAGAGGGGCCCGTGGTCCTGCCGGGACGGCCTGCACTTGGGGTGCAGTTGGCTCTCACGCTGGTGGTCACTGGTACAGGTTTTTGTCCACGGCCACACCAGAAGGACCCTCTGCACCCAGGGAAGCGCTGGCACTCAACGAGTCCTGGTTATTTAGCAGGTTTTGTGCAGTATTTGAAAGGACGATGTGTTAGCTGTTCTCATGATGCTCTTTGCTCATTCAGTCCCTCGCTCCTTCAACTTACGTGTTGGGGTGTCTGTGGGGGACAAGCCTTTCCTGGGCCCTGGCATCCGCTGGCTGCGTGGTTTCCCAGCATGGCCAGCAGGGGGCGCTACAGGACTGTGCCTGCCTGGCGGGGTTGCTCCTCCTCTTAGGCCGGATGGCATGTCAGGCTCCCAGTCCACCAGTCCTCGAGGGACTGACACCAGGGATGCTGGAGGAACCCGTCTCCTCCCTCTTCTGCCAACCCCGTGTGGACAGAGTGTCCCGTAGGTGAGGGCTGTGGGTTGACACCAAGGATCCCTCTGTAACTGGACTCTGGGGCCCCCAGAACACCCACTCCCCAACTTGGGCCCTCTGACTGTGTCCTCAAGCCCTGCCTGGTGCTCGCAGTGCTGGAGCTGAGAGATGCTGCAGCTGAGGGCTGCTGGCTCAGCTTTAGGGCAGCAGGGACCGCTGTCACTGACTGCTTGTGTGCTGCTGGGTTTGGATGTTGGGTGGGGCCATGGGGTGGAAGCTGGCGCTCTCCCTGCCCAGAGTGTGGGAAGGAGGCAGGGAGGATGCACTCAGGCCTCTGCCCTGCGGACTCAGGAAGGGGCAGGGCTGGGCTGGGCAGGGGCATTCCTGGAGTCACACTATCTGGGCTGGAGGGAGATCGGGGTGGCTGTGTCCAAGGGAGCTTGGGCTCTGGGAGCAGCAGAAGCCCTGGCCTGTTCTTCCCCCTTCCCTCCTCAGTGCCTAAAGAGGGTAGCCCAGTGCTGCCCCTGCTCCTCCGGCCCCAACACCACAGGGGTGAGGAGTGCCGTGACCAGGGCTCTAGGCACGTTCTCAGACTGACAGCCCTCAATGGTCCCACCTCCACAGGGGACCCTCTCTCCTTAAGGCCGCTCTCTACCAACTCCAGCCCCATCCCCGTCCCCTCTGCTGGTCCCAGCTCACTTCCCCAGCTAATGCGGGCGTCTGGGCCCCTCCTGGACTTCAGCTCATGCCTTCCTCAGGCTGAACCCTGACTGGGCAGCCAGCAAGGGAAGGAGGTGGGTCGATAGTGCAGACACCCCTTCCCTCCTCGCCCAGGTATGGGTGCTCTGATAGGTGGTATGCGGGAGGGAGGGGGCTGCCAAGGCCGGGAAGCTGGGCCCCGAGGGACGATGGGCCTTGGGCGGTAAGGATGGGGGCGGTCACACCAGCAGAGGGATCAGTGGAGTGTGGGGAATGCAGTGGGCTGGTCAGAGGAAGCACCGATGCGGGCGGAGACCGAGGGGGGCGCGAGGGGACGTGAGGGGAGAGGCCAACTGCTGTGTGATGGTGGGGCACCGTCCCAGGGAAGCCTCCTCTACCCTGTGAACACAGGGTAGTTCAGGTAGAACAGAGGGCAGGAGAGAGAATTCTATTCTCTGTGTATTTTTAGCTAAAAATGCTCATGGTGGGATTACTGCTCTTTTCACAGTTGGCATTAAAGTGAAAAATAAGTCTCAAAGATTTGAAGTCACAGGTTGTTTCTTCGCAGACAAGAGCCCCCTGGGTTTCTGCTGTCTGGTGAAGTGGAAGGTGTGAAGGGGATCCCCCACGTGGGCTCAGGGCTGGGGAAGCAAGAGCCGGTCCGAGTATCCGAGTGCCGGGAACCTGCACCAATGTCTGTCCGTCCCCACCCCAATGCTGGGGCTCCACGACTGATCCTGGATTTGGGGAGGTGACCTCGCTGTGGGCTCTTGCCCTGGCCGTCCGGGTACAGAGCTGGGCAAGGACCCAGGTCTTGGGAGGCATGGGCCACCCCTGCTCCTGGGGAACCTGGCCCCCCTGCCCCCCATCCTTGACCATCTTTCCTCATCTGTAAAATGGGTCACTGCCAACACCCCTGTGCAGTGGTGAGCATTAAATAAGATACTCTGTAAGGAGCCAGGAGCAGTGTGAACTTCCCTGACTGCTAACTAGTGTTTTCCACCCAGCCAACGCTCCCCACACCCTGCAGGCCCACCCTGCACACTCCTGGCTCTCCGGGCACCCCTTCCACTCTGGGGGGAGGACTCTGACCCTCACGGAGGTGGGTACAGCCGGGGCGGGTGCTGTCATTACCCCCAAACCTCAGCCCCTCGGACACAAGGGCCCCGAACATCTCCCCTGTTGGCAGCTTCTTTCCTCTCCTGGGGCTGTTTATTCTCGATATTCATCTCAACGCGACTTTTCCTAAATGTGAGTAGCAGGGAGAGAAAAAGGCACGTAGCGTGGAAGGTGTCCCCGCCACCCTCCCACGTGTCAGCCGCGCACTCAGCACTCGGACACAAGGCTCAGCTCATTCAGGGTATTTTATTTCTTGAAGTAGACAATCTCGGACTTCCGTGCGATCGCCAGCTCCTCTCTCCCCCTCGACCTCTCCTAAGTCCTTGGCTGTGGCCCTGTGCACCGACCCCGGGCAAACGGCACCACTGAATGCAATTTGGCGAGGGCTCTGAGCCAAGGTCCTTCACGGTGGCAGCAGCGCCATGGCCGGGGCAGGAAGGGCCTCCCTCAGGCTCCGAGCGAGGCTGGCTGAGCCTTCACAGGGGTCGCGGCTGCTCTCGGTAGGCGGGTGGGCGCCGGGCACGTCTCGGGCCTCCCCTTCCTCCACTTGCCAAAAAGCCACAGGCAACTTACTCTTTAAATACCAAGACATTTAGCTATTGTTCATCCGCTCCTGGGTGAAGGACCTTCTTTAAATACATCACACTTATTTTCGGAAATAAAAACGAAGCGGAAACCGCACCAGTAACAAGAGGACGCTGCGTGGGCTTATGTACAACGCTGCCCCCGAGGCTGCTGCCGGGCGCGGATGGACAGACTCGTCCAGGTAACAACTTTTACACTCAGCAAGCCAGACACAAAAAGGACCACCTGAAAAAAAAATAGGTTTGGAAAAATCTGCATTTAAAAAAGAATACTCAACTGCGTTGGAAATTTTCTGTATTTCTGCGAAACACCACGAGATCGGGCCGAAAAAAAAAAGATGTCAGAGGAGAAAAAACCAGGTTTCAATTTATAAAATGTCCGACTGGTAGAAGAAAAGCTGGAACCCGGCTGGCCTGGTCTGGGTCAAGTCCTGCCATGTGTTATCGTGTGGAGTTTCGCTGTGTATTCTGAAGCCGTTTAAAAAGAGCTGGGAGTGGCTGGTCGGTGCCGTCAGGTGGCCTCACGGCCGGGGTTCCAGCGAAGGTGGGCCGCCCAGCTCTGGTTCTCCTCCTGGTGGGTCGGCAGAGCGCCCCCTCCTGGCAAGCTGGCTGCCCCTCCTCGTGGTCCCGGATGGACCCCCATGCAGAGCGGGGCCACCGAGAAGGCAAGGTGACTAGGCTGGAGGGGCTCAGAGTGAACATGGTGACAGCTCAAGTCTTCAGGGGAACTCAGCCCCATGGGGGAGCCTTGCCATCTGCTGTGTGTGCACGTGTGTGTGAGTGTGTGTCTACCTACCTAGCAACCTATCCATATATGTTCGTGTTTGCAGAGACGTGGGGGCCAGGAGGGGGGCGGGGGGCCTCTCCGCCCGTTCCCGGCCCTGGGGCTGCTCTCTGAGAGCGCTGGGGAGCGGTCCCCGGTTTCGCCACGGCGGGCGGCCGGCCGGCTCCTCAGCAAAGGCCGATGTACTTGAGGTTGTTCTGGATGATGACGTCGGTCACGGCGTCGAACACGAACTGTATGTTACTGGTGTCGGTGGCGCAGGTGAAGTGAGAGTAGATCTCCTTGGTCTCCTTGTTGCGGTTCAGGTCCTCGAATTGCCGCTGGATGTAGACAGCGGCCTCCTCGTAGGTGTTCTGGCCGCTGTACTCGGGGAAGCACACGGTGAGCGGGATGCGCCGGATTTTCTGCGCCAGCAGGTCCTTCTTGTTGAGGAAGAGGATGAGAGAGGTGCTGACGAACCAGTTGTTGTTGCAGATGGAGTCGAAGAGGCGCAGGCTCTCCGCCATCCGGCTCTGCAGGGCGGGGCAGGGTGGTGGGTTAGTCAGGGAGAGACCCTGGCCTGCTGGGGGGCGAGGAGCCCATGGCAGGGTCTCCTGGCCCAGCGAGGCCCAAGGAAGCACCCTTCCCACCGGGTCCCCACTGTCCTCATGCCACGCAGTGGGCTCCACACCCTTCCATCTGGCCCACCCTCCTCCAACCCCTCCCTAATCTGAGTCCTTGGTTTTGTTAGGGTCTGGGAAGCCCAGGTCTGCCTGCTATAGAAGAGCCTGGAGGGTTTGTTCTCGGGAACCGTGAATCCAGCTTTTCATGCTGGAAGCCGCTGGGCTGTGGACATGAATAAGCTCCATTCACCACGGTGGTGCTGGCCCCGCGGTGGCCCATCCCGCAGCCCAGGCCTGGGCCACAGTGCCAGGCTCCCAGGGCTCCGTGGGCGGGTATGGGCAGCAAGGCTGCAGCCCCCGGGCTGGATGGGCTGAGAGGGCAGGTCCAGTCAGGGATGGACAGCAAGCTGGCACCTTCACCAGTAACAGCCAAGCCTCTGGCCCCCTGAGCTCCTTCTGTGGTGATGGCACAGGTGGGGCAACCTGTCAGCTGGCAGGTCCCAGTCGGCATCTGGGGTCCATCGCCGGGATGTTGCTGACCGTCCCTTCCCCTCTCCACTGCTTGGGAGGCAGAGCACAGGGCTCTGGGCCTGGTGGGTGGTAGGAGCCTTCAAGACCTCCATGGCCCACCCTGAGCCCTGCCAGGAGGAGTCTGGGCTTGAATGTCCCCAGATGTCCCCAGCAGGGAGGAGAGCATGCCCTACCCTCACACCCACGTACCAAAGCCCCAGCAGGTGCACGGGCGGGGGGCTGTTAGCTGCACCTGCAGCTGTAGGAAGGTGTGAGAATAGTCTTGACCTCCAGAATAAACCTGCTCCAAGGACAGCACTGGTGACTTGGGGAAACAGCTTATTCTTTGTGCCCAAAGAAATAGGGGGCAGGTCTCTGGGGGTGAAAGAGGGATGTGTCTGTCTCTCTTCCTGGAAAATTGCAGAGAAGTGTAAGGTGGCCTGGGGGTACTCAGGGGCCCTAAGGGGTGGCTGTGGGAGGCAAGGGGAAGATGCACTTAGGGCGCCCCTGGCCCTGGGCTCCATGGGGCAGAGGCCAGGCCGGGCCCAGACCACAAGCTGCCTGGTAGCTTGAGCCCTGTGCTGCCCCTCCCATCCACTGAGGGTCCTCAACCTTCTGGAGTCCATTTCCCTTTTGGGATCCAGTTTGTCCCAGGTCGGGGGGCTCAGGTGCAGGGCCCTGGCCCATGTCTGCCCTGCAGGCAGGAGGTCTCCCGGGGAAGAGGGTGCAGGTGGCAAGAAGCAATGCTGTGGTCAGAGGGTGGGGGCTATCCCCGGGAAGGCTGGATAAGCAGGATGGGGACCCAGGGAGGGACTGGAGGAGGGAGAGGTGCTGTCCAGAGCAGGGGACAGAGTGGGATCTGGGAGGAGAAGGATGCCGGGACCAGCAGGGCCATATGTGGCACACAACGCTGGCCAGTCGGGGTTAGGACGCTGTACTCTCCTCCCAGAGGAGTCTCAGCTGCGGTGGGGAACTGTGGCCCCGCACGGTCCAACACAGGCCTTCCTGGTCCCTTGCCTTTCACCTCCTCCAAGAAGCCTCTCTCACCAGCCTCTTCCCCATCTCTGGGCCCCGCCTCAGTGCCGAGAATTTCTCAGTCTCCCTTTGTTGCTGGACTGTCTGCGGCCACTCCCCTGACAGGATGGACAGCTGTGTGTAGGGCAGCCTTGCTCCTTTTGATCCTGAGGGGGAGGCCATGGTGCACACTTGCCCTTCCTCAAGGGGCTTCTGATGTGCATAGTAGGGGCAGTAGGAGACGGGAGATGGGCAGACAGAAAGACACCACACGGCAAGGCAGCACCTTCCTGCCAGAGGCTCAGTGTGGGAACTAATACAGATGACCCAGACCTCTGCTCATGTCCGCAGGGATGGCCAGGGTGCTCTGGCCTCCCCAGGCAGCCCCAGATCCCCGCTGTCACTGGGATCCAGGTTTCTCCCCCCTCCTCACTGGAAGTGTCTGTGGGAGGGCAGGGCCTCTGCTCAGCCACCCAGGCCTGGATGGAGTCACCACAGCCCTGCACAGATGTGGTCCTGGTCCAGCTGCCCACAGGGAGACGCGTGTGATGGGGCCTCTGAGCTGCCCTCTGTTCACCAGGCTCAGGAGCACTGCAGCCCCTGAGTCCTGCCCAATGGACAGTCTGTGACAGCAGCTCTTCCCAGGGCAGCCACTCCCCTCCCTCAGCTGAGCTTAGTACTCAGACACCCAGCATGCCATTTCCATGGCAACTGGGAGGAAGCCTCCACCCTCAGCCTTGCACAGCAACACAGACGGATGGCAGAAGCTCGATCACTGAGCTGGGTCAGGCGTCCCTCCACAGGGGCACACCGGCCTGGCGCTGAGTGCTGGCCAGACCACACTGTCCATCACTGCCTACTTGTTGCGGGGCAGAGGAGGGTCTCTGGGTGTGGGGGGGGACCCCAATCTCCTTGGGGGATGAGGCAGTGGGCAGGGAAGAGGGGAGGGCCTTCCGGTGACCTGCTCCTGGCTGCAGCGCCTCTGAGTGGGAGGGGAGGGGAGGCTGTCAGAGGGAGCCTTGTCCTCTGCACCCTGCGGCCAGGTTGGCCTGGACAGCTGTCCTTGGTAGCTCTGGACCTCACTCCTCCCCAGTGTGGAGGCTACAGTGGTGCCCAGGTGTCTAGCTGGTGCCCACCTCAGAGAAGTGGCCACGAGCAGCTCCTTTCCACCTGTACCCGTGTGGGATGCCTGGGCTGAGACAGATGGGCACAGCCCCGCTGCACACCACTCCCACTGCCCTCCCTCCACCAGGCACAGCCATGGGCCCCTTGGCACCCGTCCCCCTCTGGCCACTCAGCACCCTACTATCCAGCCCTCCTGTGTCCCTGGGTCGTTCCGGGCCTCCCACACTCTGACCCTTGGTCAGATGACCCCAGCCCCACCATCTTCTATCTGACCCCCTTCAGCTTTAGGGCTCCCTGGGTGACAGAAGAGGGACAGGCTGAGAAGCACAGGGACAGCCCCAGAGAGAGGCCAGAGTGAGGAGCCCTGACGGCACCCATCCCCGGCCTGCCTGCTCCACTGCCAGGCCCACACGACTGCTTGGGTGGCCTTGGACTTTACCCCTCGGGAGCTTCGGGTCCTGCCAGCTATGAGAGCAGTTATTCTGGGCTGTCGTGAAGTGAGTCACGATAGAAACGTGGTTGACAGGCAGTGACAGGAGGCCGGAGGCCCAGCATCCCCAGCACCGGCACTGGGGCCCGACATCCGCGTCTGGCCTCCCTGGCTCCTTGGCTGCCCTCACAGCACCTTCCCCTGGACCCCAGGTGGTCACTCTTAGATACGCAGGGGCAGGGAGCAGTCCTGGCTTAAGAGAACAGAGTCCTCAGGGTGGCACACACGTGCGCCTGCCACCCAGCACAGCAGCAAGTTGAGGGCAGGCGGCACCCGGGCACGGGCATATCCCTGCAACACAGGCCGGGGGCTGGGTGTGGCATGCAGGGGGCCCGTACTGGGCCCTGGGCTCTGCCTGTCTCCTGTCCCACTGATGGCACCTCCAGACACACCTGGAACCTTCTTCCCACAGCCACCACCTTAATCTCCTGCTTCTGCTCGCTGACTCCATGTGACCCCAAATCCCTTCACCGCCCCTCAGTGGCTTCCATCCTAGTGGGGTGACCCTGCACCTTCCACCTGGTCCCCTGACTCATCCTACTGGGGACCTTCACAGGGCTGTCCTTCCTCCAGGCCCTTGCAGAGGGGTCAGCCCCCGAGGCCGTCCTTGACCCCCTGGTGAAGTACCTGGTCACTGCGTCAACTCCTTCTGTTAATTTGCTGTGGCTATGAGCACCTCCCGCCCTGTTCTCCACACTGCTCACTGTCGGCCCATAAGCACAGCGCCAGGTCTGCTGGACTCGGGGAGATGGTGGGCAGGGCCAGACGGCACTGCTGTAGGTGTTCGAGGGGCTGTGGTGAGAGGGGGCTGGGTGCCGAGTGTCCTCCCTCTGAGGTGCACCTGTCCCCGGCTGACCCACAGATGGCCTGACCTGGTTGGTGGGGTGGTGGCCCACACGCCCCACCAGCCTCCCCTCTCCTGGCAGGACCTGGACACATGATGGAGCATCAGGATGGCAGGGCCGGGCCTCCTTCTCTGCAGCAGGGCCGGGCCTCCTTCTCTGCAGCAGGCCCTGTGCCACCCTGGTGCTCTGCTGACAGTGGCCCGTGTCCCTTCTCACCTCAGCTATGTTGTTCGGTGGAACAATGCAGCGGCAAAGCACGTGGAAAAGGGGTTATAAACAGGTGCTCTTCTGGCTTTAAATCGACCAGGAACTAACTCCCTGATCCGGGGGGTGCACGAAGCCTCAGGGTTTATCTCCCCATCTCAAACCCGTGGGGTCTGAGTGGCAGCCCCAGGACCCGACTCCTGCTCTGCTGACTGCCCACCCCACCCCCCCCCGCCTCTGCCGCCACCTGCAGACGGGCAGCCCCTCGGCCACAGGACTCGCCAGGCAGGGTGGAGATTAGCGGGGAGCATAGAGGGATTAGCAACTCAGGGCAGCGCACCTCGAGCCCTCACAGTCCCGATGCCTGCGGGGCCCGGGCCTTCCCCGCAGGGACAAGAACGGGGCTCGACAAAGAGCCACTGCCTCTCCCCTCTCCTCTGCTCCCTCATCACCTCTCCTCCTCTCCCATGGCCGCTCACTGCAGCCCAGCCAGGGGTGGCATAAGGCTCAGGAAAGGCCAGCGCTCAGCCCTGCAGGCCTTGGGCCAGCGACAGATGGGGCTTCTCTGGGGTGGGGGGACTTCCGACGGGTCCAGAAGTCAGAGTCACCGTTTGCCCTGCCCCCTTCCAGTGACAACCGTGACGCTCATAGTAACGGCACAATCAGACCTGGCACTTCAAACAGCAAGGGCTGTTTAAACAAGATAACAGGCTGTGGTGAGG